AGAATTTACACAAAAATGGTGCCTTTATAAAGCAATGCCGTTAGCCCGTCAAAATGGATCAGACTAATATAGATTTTACTTTGCCTCCGGCTCCTCGTGGTCTTTGTTTTGACCGTAATGATTTTGTCAAGGTATTATTCCTTGTTATCACTAGTTTTTATAAAAACAATATTAGAAATTTATTTAATATTAGAATTTATACCAGGCCATAAACTCCAAAAAAAAAAAGTAATAATAAACTTACTATCATTTTAGCTGCATGAATTTTAAAAACATAATGATCTTAACAGAGTAAAGTGTACTTAAGTGTCTGAGGATACAGGTGCACTCTTTATTCTCTCAATCTCAGTATGTTAAGAAAATGGTCACTCATTCATGGACTGACCGCGGCAAGTGCATCTTAATCTCGCAGATCTATTGATCTGCGCAGCCATTAACAACGAGTTCCTCTTCTCTATGAATAACGCTGTAGGCGATGAACCACGCTATTTAAGCCCTCGGCACAATGTCGTCGGCCATCAAGCATGAATCGCATGGCATCAAGAGTTGTGAGTGTCAAATACTACGGAATTTATACTATCCTGGCACATTGAACCGCGCCTCTCATGCGCGGGCGTTTACTGGTGCTTCAAGAGCATTACTGAGCATTACTAAATATATTATATCTAACTACGCTAAGAGTTTTATCATTGTGACTTGAGAATATACTTCAACGCTCCGCGCAACCCCTTGGGGAAAATAGCGTGTTGCTATGAATATTGGACTAGTCTAACCGTGAGGTGCGGGTGGTGAAATAAGGTTATATATTTTTATGGTTGATAAATAGATATTTCTAATAAGATTCAATATAAACATTCCAGATAAATATTGATATTAATTTTGATATAGCTGAGTCAACCCCTGACGTACATGTAAAATATTTTGTATAAAAATGAATTTATCAAATTATCAACAACATGACTTTTTCTGTACAAAATATCAAAATTAACTAAATAATTGAAAACATTCTACATTTTAAACAGTATATAACATAAATTTTAACCAAAAATAAACAGGTCATAACACTGACGACATCATGTGAATTTGTCTGTGAAATGTGCAGTTATCTAGATTATTTCTATTATTAACACCACAGTCACTCATAGAACAAATAACCATTTTGGAAAAAGGAACTTACTAAAAATAACAACTATTAGACTCTAAAAACTTATAAAATATCTAGGAGCTTATTTCTTGCGTGCCGACTAGCTTGCTACATATTTATTTATATATGGTGCCGACTTGTGCCGACCTGTCATTCAAAATCGATTATAGAGTCATGAAATTTGGTATCAGAATCAGAATCAGAAATAGTTATTGGCCATAATATAACAATCGTTACAGGCAAGTCATTGGTTACAAAAGTTCTTAAATTTATAAGGTTTAATTACATTATTGTACTTTAATTTAACACATTGACGCTTTACATCATGGAATTAGGTAAGTTATTTTGTTTGCACTTTGCACAAGAATGATGATTCCAAGAGTTGCATTGACATGTATTCGCTTAATTTGTAAAATGGGTTATTTTCAAAAAAATACTTAAGTTTTCGTTTAAATATGCTATAGTTTAGGCTGGTTATACTTTTTGGTAATTTATTATACATCAATATTTTTGAGTAACGCCCTTGTTTTTTTACTTTGATTAATCTATTCACTGGTAGAACACGTTTTTCATTATAACGCAGATTGTATTGATTTACGTCTTTCTTTTTTGGTATTTCCTTATCCTCGTGTACCTCTAATAAACTATTATATATATAAAGCGAAACCACTGTCATTATTTTATCGTTCTTAAAATGTTTTCTTGCCGGACTACTTTTTTCAGACCATTGATTATTCTTATAGATTGTTTTTGACATTTTAAAACTTTTATAATATCCGTAGCATTACCCCAAATAGTAATGGTATACCTTATTATAGAATTAATATAGGCATAGTACACAGATATGAGTGTCTTTTTATCTAATAATGGCTTGAGTTTAAACAATGCATAATTACCGCTAGCTATTTTCTTACAAATTTTTTCAATGTGGGCTTTATGGTTGATTGTGTTATCTACTGTATACCCTAAAAATACATTTTCTTTTATAGCCGAGTTACCATAAATGCCTAGCCTCGATTGATAATGCATTACAATGCTTTTATCGGAATTTAGAATAATACCATTTGCGCTAAACCATTCTTTTAGCAAGCATATAACATTATTAATTTTGTTTTCTAAATTTGATAGACTTTTATCTCTTAAACCTACATGTGTATCATCTGCAAATAGACTTAAATATGTATAGTCTGGCATTGCATTACCAAGATCATTAATATAGATCAAAAACAAAACAGGACCTAAAATTGAACCTTGTGGTACTCCGATCGATACAGAACTCTCTGAAGAAGTTTGGTCATTTACTGAAACAACTTGGCTACGGTTATTTAAATAAGTTTTCATCATATGCAGTTCAGCTCCTTGAAAACCATAATGCTGCAATTTTAATATTAATACATCATGCCGTAAGCAATCAAAAGCCTTTGATAAGTCACAAAAAATACTGGCACATCTATTCGAGCTGTCCAAAGATTCTAGAATGAAATAAATTACTTTTCTTATGGCCATTACGGTCGATCGTCCTCTTCTAAATCCAAATTGTGCCGTTGTAAATAAATGATTTTCTTCAAAGTACCTTATAATTCTAGATTTTATGATGGCTTCTAATATTTTTGATAAAGCCGGCAATATACAAACTGGCCTATAATTACTGAGCTCTGTGGAATCCCCTTTTTTGAAAACTGGAACAACCCTACCTGGTTTGAGTACGTCGGGGAATATGCCATTAGCTAAGCACGAGTTGACAACAATAAATATCAATTCGAATAAATTATTGTTCTTTCTAATAAGATTTCTTAATGTCCTAGTGCTCATATTATAAATGTCTAATGTAGATTTTTGCTTCATGCTATTAACAATGTTCTTTAGCTCTGTATAATCTAATGGGTAAAAATAAATAGATGTTAGAGGCCTATTAGAGTAATCTAAGTATTTCATGCAATTTTCTGCGTCAATTTCTAAATTACTCGTTAATCTATGTGCTATATTGCAGAAAAAATCATTAAAACTTCTTGCAATTTTTTGAGATTCTGTAATAATTTGCCAACTATCGTTTTTTATCGATTCAATTCTAGATTTTATATTTTGCCGTTTATTTTTCCCTACCTGCTCATTTATAATATTCCACGATTCTTTAATTTTATTTTTTGCCTTCGTAATCCTAATACGATATTGTAATTTTTTTGCGGTTATCATTGTTTTTAGTAATAATTTCTTATATTTTTTAATTTTCAATTTTCTCTGTTGGGTAGGGTAGTGCTCTTGTAATATTTCCATTTTAATTAAGTTTTTCTTACTAGTTTCTATACCTAATGTAGTCCATTTTTTAAATTTGCTCCTTACTTGTTTTTTTATTTTTGGAAAAGCAATGTTGTAATAATGGTGCAGCGCTTCATGTAAAATTCTCATTCTTGCATTCGCGTCATCAGTCATTACAATTTCTGATTTAATCCCAGTGTAATTTTTGTTGAATAAATACTCGTAATTAAAATAATCAAGATTATTCCTTGAAAAGTTTCTGCCTATATAAGTTTCATATTTATTGTTACAGTTTTTTTGATTAACTAATTCTAATTTAATTACATTATGATCAGAAAATTTTTGACCTAATACACATCCTTTACATTCATTAAAATTAACAATAAAGTTATCTATACAAGTAGAACTGGTTTTATTACGTTTATTTGTTTCGGTTCTAGTTGGTTCACTTAATATCCATTTACAATTAAAATTTTTAAGTATTCTATCAAGCTTTTTAATATTTGCGTCAATTTTTAAAACATTTAAGTTCAAGTCACCTGCTATTACAATTTTTTTGTTCTCTTGACAAAGTTTATATAAAAGTTTTGTAGGTATTTCAAAGAATAGACTCATATCATAGTCAGGTCGGTAAAGTGCAATGATTATTGTTTTTGAGGATCTTAATTCTATTGCTACTAATTCAGAATTCATTTCAAATGATAGTTTATTTATGTCATTCCTAATTTTATAATCTAAAGTATTTTTTACATATATCGCCGTTCCGCCGTGTTCAAAAATTATTCTATTAAAACATGTCGCCAGTGTATAGTTTTCAATAGAAATCGCCTGTATTTGATGGTTTTTACCCCACGTCTCCGTCAAACATAACACGTCGCAATTTTGTTCATTAGCTAAGCTTTCGATTTCTAAGTATTTATTATGTATACTTCGAACATTCGCATGAAGAATTACCGTTCTTGAATCGGCTCTTGCGCTGTTAAAAAATTTGTGCCTTTATAACTTGAGGAAGGGTACTCGTCTTGGCATTTGATGAAACGCAGTGAGGATGATCCTTGAAACTTGTGGTTTATACTTGTTATTACATTTTCTATAACAAAGTTTTTCAACGATTTATAGTTCCTTGTATTTTCATATATCATATTCGGGTCCAGAAATTTAATATTTTCACTGACTTCAAATCAAATTCTCATTGTCGTTCTTGCCATTATAACGAAAACCAGTGATTATCATGTTAAATTTCCTATCCGGCTGGTTTACAATATTGTTTAATAGTTTTATGTACTTTTTTTTGATTATGACAAAGAGAATTTTCATATTTAGTAATAAGTACTGCTACTGTATCTTTTTTTTCCAGAACTTTAATCTTTGCACCATAATTTTCTAATATTTTTTGAAATCCTGCTTCCGGTTTACAGTTGTTAATTGCTTGACAATCAGTTTTTTCTAATATCTTTGAAGCTAATCCTTGTCCTATACTATCAGAAAATATTATAACGCGATTATTTTTTGGCTTTTGTTCAGTTTTTTCACTATATAATCTTGATTTATTTACTATTAGATTCGTTTTTGTATTATCTACTTCTACAGCACTATAGTTTCATTCATCTAACTCTATTGGTCGGCTTTGTACAGATTTATTATCTTTTTTCTTTTCCGTAGTATTTCGATTTGTAAGAGATGCGCGCCTTTTGGGTGTACTCATCGCTTCAGTAAATAGTTTCTTCCATTTTACAGTCAGCGTTTCCTTTTCTAATATTTGCTTTTGTAATTTTGTATTTTCCATGTTTAAATTTTCTATTTCATTATGAGCTTTTTCTAATTCTAATTTCAAATATGCGATTTCTTTTAGCAATTCTTCTTCTCTGTCATTTTGATAAGTACTAATATCTGGCAGGCTATGTAGGTCATCATCAGAACTGGTTGATTCTTCCTCTTCAGACTTATGCAATGGCGTTACTGGAGGTGCCTTATATCTAGTGCTTCTTTTTGTCGAGTTATATGAGCAAAGCCTGTCGGTGTTTTCACTCGCTATTGGTAGCTTAGCTTTGACTTCATGGCACGTTTGGCATTTCCAGATTTCCTTTTTTAGTTTGTCCATGATATTAACTTTGGTGCTCAATACTTGTGCACAAGTTATGTCGTAAAAATTTTTGCAAGATACACAACAAAGTATATCCTTTTTTTTAATTATTTTCTTTTGGCATTTACAGCAAACAGGGTACTTGACCATTTTCTGAGCTATTTTTTTATCCATATTTTGCTCCAAGTAATAAAGTAAAACAATAATAAAGAAAAAAGTATGTACTATCAGCTGCGAGACTTGAACTTATTACCACCGGCTTATAAGGCATATAGTGTGCAGTATGGTGCGACTATACGTACGTACGTATCCTTACTTATCTTGCATTTTTCCCATAAGGAATTTTCTCCCTTGCACACTATGTCGGTCTATACGCCAGTATATTCTGAGTCTATGGTCCTATGTAATGTATGATTACTTTATAGTTCTAGTAGTTTCTAATAATTTCATTGTATTTTGTAACCTATGAAAACCTAAAGATTATACAATGATAAATCTAATAACAAAAAGTGTCACAGTACCAAATTCTTCATTTAACACATATACGTCATTATTTTAGATGGTTCTAAACCAGTTATGTGCACTTTTAAAGTTATACTTCTTTTGGGGCGTTTGGGAAAAATAATGAGAGTGAAGTGACACCTAAAAACGACACCTTGATGTTGTTACGATGCGCGTGCACACTGAAACCTAAAAGTAACAACTAAGTAGGTAATTATCTCTAAAGTTTTTGTTTTGTTATGCTAAAGAAGTATAACTGCCTACGTGCGTACATAAGTACAATCACACTTTTTTTTGGTTTAAAAAATTTCTAATTCCTTAAATAACTAACATTTGTGGAAAATTTAGTATTTCTATTATGTATCAAATAAACGTCTATCATATTGCATTAATATTTTGCCAGGGTTTTCGTTTGTTTAATCAATAACACGTTTTTGTTGTATCCTAAAACCTTACAAATATTACATATGGAAAAACGTAAAAAATTATGGACAAGATACCTAAATTATAACGTAGTATAATGCATTGTCCTCTATGTATACGACACAAGTACGCTGGACTGGCTATACCATACAAAATGCTTCTGCCGATTTGAAGCGCTCTCATTGTCCGTACCGGGAACTAAAATTGACATAATGCGGCAAAGAGACCCTTTTTACTGGAAATGAGGCATTCCATCTTAGTCCTCACGGGTGACAACGCATCTTTTTTTATAGGGTAAGGGTGACAAACGAGCACACAGTCCACCTGATGGTAAGTGGTTGCTGTGGCCCATAGACATCTACATCTATCTTCGATTAAGAATCAAAATGCAGTTGCGTTGTCACCCGTGAGGACTAAGATGGAATGCCTCATTTCCAGTAAAAAGGGTCTCTGTTTCTCTACACTCACCATAAGAAACACAGTAGCGTTAAGCTGCTATTTTATGCTGGTATTCTGTGAGACTGTGGTCCTTCCCCGATCGAGCCGACCCATTCGTGCTACAACCATAATATAGCTGCAGCATGGCTCTACCAAATATAAGGTCCTCTGTATTTTGATTCTTAATCAAAGATAGATGCAGATGTATCAGGTGGACTGTGTGCTCGTTTGTCACCCTTATCCTATTAAAAAAAAAGTCTGTTGTGTTATTTAAATCGGATCTATGTATTTTAAACTTTTAAACTAAAAAATGAAAATTTTTATGTGGTTTAATTATGTTTGTTTTTAGTTACATAATAAGAATTATTTTTAGTAATAGTGAGAGTGTGCGTAATATATAAAACTTGTTACCAAAAGGAAAGTGGGATAACATTCCACAAGTAAGTTAATTTACAGCTGCTATTAAACAAATTAAAACTATTTGATAATATAGGTACATAACAATTTGTTACTAATCTTAATATCGTAATTACTAACATGTTTTGCTTTATATTACTGAGTTTTGATAAACAATAAAATTCAATAGGGTTGTCGAGTTCCTTGTCTATAATACTTGTCGATGATCGTCGATAAGTATTAAAGACAAGAATTTCTACCAATATCTGTTAACAACCAAAGTGTCCGACAACAGATAATTATCAATGTTTATTAATTAACAGGTTTCCAACTGAACCTAGAATAAAATTATGGCTAAAAAGCATAAAAATTGTGAATTGGCGTCAGAAACAAAATTATTATCTTTGTTCTAAACACTTCACTGACGACTGTTTTATTAGACATGAGAAACGCACCACTTTGAAAAAGTGCAGTATACCCACAATATTTTCTGATAGTACTAGTACCAGTAAGTATAAAAGTATAAGATTATTATTTCGAATGTTTTTTTTTATTTCTTCTCTCCTTATTTTCCCCCAAACTCAAGGGCCATAATCAAGTGTAGAAAGGTCGCCTAATGATGACCTTGTGTTTACAAGACGTAAATTTGTTAAATCTACTTAAATATGACCAATTTATTATATCAAGGGAATAAATTTATAATGGGACTGCAAAATTATTAATGTTGTTAGAAACCCATGGTAAACGTAGGATGACTCACATGGCTGGCCCAAAGTGAAAGGATGGCCCAAGGTGGCCACTCTGAGTGGGCTTGTTGAGCTCTTGGATATTTGTTAGTGGGCTGCGGCTAGAGGAGAGAGCTCTCCCTATACAGCTGCGGTGATGCGCCACTCAACTATCCTCCGCGACTTTCCGTTTGCCCTGCCAATGTGCGGCAAAGGTGGAACACCATGGGGTTTTAGTAGGTGTGAGTCCGACATAATTTGTTCTTGCCTCTGCGAAGCGGGTATGCGTTTTTTTTTATAGGATAAGGGTGACAAACGAGCACACAGTCCACCTGATGGTAAGTGGTTGCTGCGGTCCATAGACATCTACATCTATCCTCTGTTACGAATCAAAATGTAGATTCGTTGTCACCCGTGAGGACTAAGATGGAATGCCTCATTTCCAGTAAAAAGGGCCTCCGGCCACCTGCACTCACCAAGCGAAACGCAGAGGTAAACCTCTACTTCACGCTGGTTTTCTGTGAGGTCGTGGTACTACCCCGGTTCGAGCCGACCCATTCGTGCGATAGCAAAAGCTGCCGCGTGGCTCTACCACTGTTTAAATGCGTAGACATTTCCTCATTTGAAACCCGGAACAAAATCCGTTCTTACGAATAAAAACGTAGATAGAACAAGGCATCGTCGATCTTGGTTTTATATGAGGTATAAAGCTTGTGTCTAAGGCCTAGGTATTAATTGATACATTTATTTATTGTATGGCATTATATTAATATGATTCATAAATAGAATGGATTTTACACGTAGGCCTGGATATAGAATTTTTATCGATATATTTTGTCACTGTCTTATCTCTTTAATTAGTTCCTAGGATGTTCATTTCTGCTGTCAGCGCCAAAATGGCGAAAATCATATCGCCTCATTATGTCACGGTGTATAGCCAGTCCATATATTATAGAGGTCAGTGGTATAATGGAATGACATGATAGATGGTTGAAAGGGTTGCTATAAGAATTCTCTTCCATCCGGACCGTCGCAAGGTGCACTCGCTTGCAAAACTTAAGTCAATCACGTTTTTAAATTTAAATAATTAAATCTGTGTCGATAAATCGAGTAAAAATAATAGGAGTGCAGAAAGCAGTGGTAGTGAGCAAAACTGTGAGTCAAACCTCCTCATATTCTGATTGCCTAGTACGCGTCCCCCTCCTGCGGACCTAATTTATATCTTCATCAACCTACTTGCGTATGCGCTTGACCTATCTGCATACGCACTTTTCGGCCATTTTTGTGTTTGGTCCAACCTACACTAACGTGACTCCTCCCCTCGCTTGCTATAGGACACTACTGCCGTACTGTTTTTGCGCCATTTTGCAATTGCGTCTTGAAGAATACAACTAACTCCTATTCACTTATAGTCTCCTAATCTTGTTCAAATGGATACTATGAATAAATCGTTGTCAGATACAGAAGTCGAAATTACACATCTAACAACTCCACCAAACTTTTTAACTGCCCGGAAAAAGAGAAGAATAGATGAAGATTATACTTCGGAACTGGCTAATTTAAAAGAAGAAATGAAAAACATGTTCTCATCACTCATGAATTCTCAAAATTTAGAATTTCAAAAAAATGCAAGCATTCTGAAAGAAATCCAAAAAACTAACCAAAATATCGAAAATACTATTACTTTTTTAACTGAACAAAATAAGGAATTTCAAGAAAGGATCTCTAAGCTAGAAGGACACATTAAGGAGGACAGGAATTATATAGCTATTTTGGAAGACAAAATAGAGGACATGCAAAAAGATAGACGTAAAGCAAACTTGGAAATCAAAAACGTCCCGAGAAAAAACGACGAGGGCAAAACACATCTTATTGAAATGGTATTAAGTCTATCCAATACTATCGGCTGCCAAATGGTAAGTTCAGATATTAAGGATGTGTATAGAGTCCGTGGAAAAAGAGAAGAAATTAAGAACACTCCTATCATTGTGGAAACATCATCTACAATACAAAAAAATGAATTTTTGAAAAAATGTAAAGATTTCAACAAAAAAAATAACAAATCAAAACTCAGTGCTCATCATTTAGGACTGAAGTCTTCAGGCATAGAAAATATACCTATCTTTGTATCAGAGCAGTTAACAGCAAAGGCTGCCCGACTCTATTTTCTTGCACGCGAACTTAGCAAGACACACTCGTATAAATTTTGTTGGACATCTTACGGGAAGGTTTATTTAAGAAAAGGCGATAACTCCAAAATTATTCTAATTAAAAATGAATCGCAAATCCAGCAGCTGAAGATAAACACCTGACTAAAAACCGTTCTACAATATGCATGCATCTATACATGCATCTATACATGCAATCTCTTCGCTTTTATTAGAGTAAGATCTATAGTTTTTTCGTATATTTACTTTGTGTTTATAATTTTTTACCACACAAATGTAAAAAAACAATCACTCAGACATACTTTCACACATTCATCTTCCAGTAATACTACACAGTCACATCTTAACAAACATTTCGGGAATACACAGACTATTGTAACTATTTTGACTTTGTATTGGTTCTACTGTCACCTTACCCACTTGCACATTACAACGCTGTTATACATATATAAAGACTTTTCTTTTAATAATTTTATAAACATACATCGTGTTAATCGCTTTGCAAAACTACCCTCTACTAAAA